CTGCAATGGCCTGCTTAAAACCACCTTGAAGGCACTGGGTGGGGGAACTTTCAAGAACTGGGAGATTAATCCACCAAGTTCTGGACAGACAATTGCCAACTTGTGTCTGTGACTCCTACTGATGCTCAAACTGTACCCAGATCTTCCCTTGATGAGCTGGGCACTCCCTTTGCTCCTGCATCACACCCAGCAGCACTGTGTCCCACATCATCTCCATGGAGAACATACAGACCAGGTGAATGATACTCCGATTCTGGTTCAGTGCCATGAGGTTTTCTGGGCCTTCCTGCAGATACATTACTAAGTCACCTCGCTCTTACTTTGCAGGCAGGGTATAATGAGACTAGAGTTTACCTGGAGGAAGTGTAGAAGTTGCAAAGAGCAGCTTCCAGAAGCATGACTGTGCTATGTGCACATATCCAAGGCTGGAATCCAGATGCATATCCACCAGGGAGGCAGAAGCCATATTCAGGTTGCCAAGCCTTTCTAAGGCATGACCACAAACCCTTTGGAATGTGGCCCAATGAGCAGCTTTAACCTCATCAAGAAGGACAGTACAGGCTGTTGACCCTGCAGAACAGGACACATCTTGACCCTCCTGTGAGGCAACTGCTCAGACTGAGTTTCCCCTTAGAGCATGTCCCCACGGCCTGCAAGTCCTCAGAAGTATAGGCAGCAGTACAATTCCCAGAATTTGCTCCTGTTTGAGCACAAAATAACTTTGCATACACACTCCTGGGTGGAATATAAGGCACATTTTTATTTTCCCTCATCCCCCCCTCTCAACTCACAGCCATCACACTGTTTGCTGGCAGCAAGGCTATGCAGGGATTGATCATATGGATCCTCATGGATCATTTGTGCTCCTGGAGCAGCTAGTAGCAGTGCCCTGGACTCCCAGGAGTTCACCTGGCTGCTCAGAGTGCCACTGTCCTGAGCAAACTTCTCTGTGAGGTGTTGCTGGGTGACACACACAAACACTCTGAGCTCTCCCTCACTTGTCCACAGCACGACCAGTGGTAGCAGCCAGGGTGACCTTTGTGTCCGTGGCCATAGCCTTGGTACCCACCTGCAGGAGAAGAGGCACCAGAGCAACTCAATCCAAAGTGGGCCAGAAGATCCCAGTGTGTTATAGGCTTTGGCCCCAGGACTTCTCTAAAATGTTCTGAGGAGAACACACCATATTCAAAGCCAAAATTGCTAGGGCTCCATAAAGAAAGAATAACTCATCTCAAAAGCTGGAGAAAGCTGATGATTTCCGCCCCCTTGCCTGTTGAATAAAGCAATACACAGGCATACAGAACCCCATGCCAGCTGCTTGTGGCTATGGCCAAAGATACAGATCAAGCACAGAAAAAGGAAGAGGTCAGTTCTATCCTAAAAACACACAAAACACACGTTGACACGTGCAGGTGAAGGACAGGGAAGATGGTTGGGATTAAACAAGTAAGGGAGTTGAACTCTTGGCCTAAACATGGAGTGAGGCTTCTCCAGAGCTGGTCACTGTGTGGCACAACCCATAAGCTCCCAACATGCCAGCACTGGAACAGAACACAGGTGTGATGCTGCTCAGCCTCACTCAGAAGGGCTGAAAGGCTGACATGCCCTGCCCCACCCCCTGCACAGCTGGCTCAGGTCTTTTTCTATGGGATGTGCCACAAAGACCCTTCGTGTATCCTGCTGCACTTCTCCCTGCTGCAGTTACTCCACCAGAACATGTGTATGCACAGTTTACCACATTCCTTGTGTATGTCCAAGGTGGGAGTTGGGTGAGCATATCTCCTCACACCTCCATCCACCAGGGAGGATGCAGTGCAACAAATACTCCTGATCCTAACAGCGTGGGGAGAGCTGAGCACCCACCTGGCATGGTCGCACCACAGGCACAGTGAGCGGATTTCTGGCCTCCACTGGAACAGAATGTGCAGCAGTGAAACACCCGCTAGTGCTCACGGAATTTGTGCTTCACCATCAGAGTAAAGGGAGAGCCCTGCAGAGGACAAACAAACAGAGAGGCTGCTGCAGTAGGTGCTGTCAGATGTGTCTGCATTCTCAGACACCATGTGGGTGACCCTATCCATCACACATCACTAAGCCCAATCTTAAACTGCTACGTGGTAGAAGTAATCCTTCAGATTTAAAGATTTAAAGACAGATTTAAAACAAATACCTAAGAAAAGAAAAACAGGTAAAGAAGAAGCAGTGCATGAGAAACAAGAAATGCCACCTGTACATGCTGCCCTTTCACACAGACGCAGACAGCATACAAGCCTGGCTCCTCAGGGCTGTAGGAAATACAATAGGTCCCATCACCATTATCAAACACTGTTGGCTTGACTGCACCAGGAACAGTGGAGAGAAATCCAAGAGGTCAGTGACTGGCAGAAAATTGCTTTAAATGTAAACCAGAGTTCGGCCTAGAGTGGTTTTCACACACCCCTGCTACTGCAATTGCCATACAAAGGAAGTCACACAAAGCCCGTTGCACTGCAAGGATTTGTAGCAACCTGCACACCGAAAAGGCAAAACATGACACATAGCACACTTAAAAATCAGATTATCCTATCAAATAAGAGCCCACAGAAATGGGGTAAATTCACAGCTTCAGCAAGCAGTTACCTCCAGAAATATCCATTAAGAAGACAGGATATAATACAGCAGGTTTGAATCACTTTAACGACTGTCCCAGCTGCACCTATCCCAACTCTTCCGTTCAATGCTGAGGAGTTCTAGGACACTGCTGGTAAACTCTTCCTTGTCGTAGTGAAGCTCATTGTGTTCCACGGGGAGCCCTGATGAACAGGGCCAGAGAGAAAGCCTCAGCTGGTTACTCGAGGATAAATTCTGCTCTACAGGAAGATGGAAAGCTTTTCACAGACAATTGTCAGGCAGTTCTGCATACAGGAAGGTGTTCTTGCTAATCCCCACTAATTAGTCTCCTGGGCCCCATGGCATGACAGTTTATAATCTGTGTTCCCCACCCCCAACATTACACATCAATACAGCTGCCTACATAATTTCCTGCCATGAACTGTGTGGTGATACTTCATACTCCTCTGCAGCTGTTGTGCCTCAAAGCAAAGCCAGACAGCTTTCAGCAACCCATGTAGCAAATGCATACAGGCAGAGACAAGAAACTGAGTAAATGTGGCGACCTCTACCCCACAGTGACCTCTACCCCACCAAGAGAAATCCAGAAACGTCTCAGGCACGCACCTTCCTACATCATAGGTACACTTACGGAAAGAAGGTACATTGGAACAATATTCTCCAATAATATCATCATTATCAATGATGCTGTATTGATAAGCATCTGTGCAGCCAGCACTGCTTCTGTATGATTTGTCAACATAGCAAAGGGTTTTAGCATCCTGTCCCTTTTTTTCATCAGGTCATCCTATCGTGAGTGTTCCTGGAACAAATTAATGCTGGCATCTGGTTCCAGCTGCTACAAAACAATCGATATTTTTAAGAACTAACCCCCAACTGGGTCTGCTTTTGTGCCTGGCTGCTCCTTAGTGACAAGTATGGCCTGGGAACAGTTACAATTTTTTTCTGGTTGGTCATTTTCCTTGTGGAAACACTGAGGAGCTCAAGTGCAGCCTTTCCTGGTTTTGCTAGAAAACTTTCAAACATGTTAAAGTACTCAATGCTTGCAACTACAGGAGAAAGGACAGAAGCACAACACAGATTCTTTCTCCAGAACATGAAGAAGGCACTTCTATCAGCTGTAAGAGGCTCGTGGGGTTGGTGAACTCTCTGTCTGACTTGTGACTGTCATACAGGGGTTGCAATGACTTATGCTTGTTAGGTGTTAACAAAAAGAGAAGCCCCAGGTGTCTGCTGGGAGGAGTGAGAAGGAAAAACAGCTCCCTCTGATCGTGAAGACCAACACATACGAGTTGAATCCTTTAAGGAGTTCAAATCACTCAAAGACTTAATACGAATCTCAGCAATCACTGTCTAGCCAAAAACAACCAGTAGGAAGCACTGTGGGAAAAAAGAGTAGTGCCTTTTCCTCTACAAATTCTGACCCAAATGCTGAAGCACATCCTCCCATCCACCTAAGCAAGCAAGGAGCCAGGATAAGGGAGGCAGAAAGGCTAAGCTGGTGACCAGGGATTTCTTGAGTGAAATACCCAGTAGTCCTCTTGTCCTTGTGGGTGATGGTGACCCACACAGCCTCTCCGACCCATGCACTCCCCTGTAGTGTCCTTGCACAGCAGGGTAAAGCTGCTTAGCTGGTTCTGACGGGCATTGTGGAGATCTGGGAATAAAAAACAAAACACCAAACTAGAAAGAAATAGAACTACAAAGGATTCAAGTCAAGCCATGACTGCTACCTCCCACCTATTTTGCAGAATTGCAGACACATCAGAACACAGTCAGGACTTTACTTCTGGGGTGTACAGTTCCTTCCTCTCACAGGGAAAAGTCAACATACAACTGGGTATGAGGAGAGAGTGGAAGCCATAGGCTCTGAGAGATGTCAGGCAGGTTTAGCCCAGAGATCTGTATGCACCACGAGGGTCTTTTTGCCTGTCACTCTAAGCCTACCTGGCACCTTCCCAGAAGGCCTCAAGATGCACCATGCTACCCAGAGGAAGAAGGAACAGCACCCCATTGTGCCCCAGAGAACTCAACACCTACAGTTTGGCACAGAATGTCTCGAACAAGTCCTGGGTCTGTCTCATTTGCCCTGCAGAGACCATTACTGACCGGAGCTGGCTGTGCTCTGTGGGATGGTCTGAACAGTATCTGTTTGCTGGCCCAGCTCCAAGTCCTTAGTGAGCAAATATCCATAAAATCATCAAGGTATTGCCAGGCATTCCTATAGCAATCTCAGCAGAAGCTATAATGGGAAAAACATACTCAGCCACAAAGAGGATTTGCCTGGGCTCACCCTGCAGAACAGCTTGGACCACCAGCAAATCATGCCCTGCTATTGCAGGTGCCATTCCCATCCCCTGAGTGAGCCCTCCTCACGCCTCAGCCCCATGCTGAGGTTGGTGATGCTGCAGAGGGCAGTGCCATATGCTCTGCACGTCTGGATGAGAAAAGCTGCCTGGCTCCTGCCCAGCACAGCTCCCATAGGCAGGAAATGCAACCTCTGCTGGGGCTCTACCTCTGCCCTTGGTCAACGCCTGGATAGCAGGGAGCCAACAGTGCCAGAAGCTGCACACCATGTGGGTACAGAGAGCAGGGGGGTGACTTCAGGGAGCAGTGCACTCCCATTCAGCTGCTGTATACAGCACCCCATTACCTTCCCCATGCAGGGTACATCTGGCTGGATCAACCACTTCATTGAGAATGGCCCCAAAAACTTCATAGCCACAACACTGCCCTGCATTCTCCTGAGGAGAGAACTGGATCCTGTCATCCACACTAGGGTGGATGCTGTAAGCAGTGTTGTTGAGCTTTCTCAGACGGCTGGACACCACCCCTTCGGTGAGGAGGATCTCCACATCTGATCTGCTCATCAGCAAGTGCTCTGTGAACTCCACACCTGTCCTCATGTCCAGCAGCAGCTGCTGCAGCTGGGCCTTCTGCAAGTGCAGCAGGTTTTCTTTCTGCACCTTCAAGTCCTCCAGCTGCTTCAGCAGCCGGTCTCAGTGCTCTTCAATTGCTTTCACGTAGCCCCTGGCAAACAGGCAGATCTCTGCGGCCACAGCCTCTGCATTGACTGTAGACAGCACTGCCCATCTCATCAACCTGGCTCAGCACATCCTCCAGGGTATTCATGTGCTGCTGGCTGCTCTTTAGCAGCTCCCGCAGGGCATCTCTGTGCTTGTGGGTGACATTGCTGATGAAATCACAGGGGTGCTGACCGTGTCTGCCCAGAATGCACTCCCAGTACACGGGCTGGTCACACTGCTCGCAGAACAGCTGGAGCTCCTCTGTAGGATGGGAGGGGCACAGGAGAGGCTTCCCGGCCCGGCTGCAATCCTTGGTGTCCTCCAGCTCTGTCGCAGCATGGAAGGCCGTTTTCTTCTGTCTCCTAGGCAGGAGCAAACACCAGTCACTTTATGCATGTTGGACAAAAAATACAAAAACTGAGACCCTTTGCAAATGCCTATTTGCCACAGGCTGTAAGTCATAGTGTGCACTGCTCCCTCCTGTCTCCACTGAAATTCCCAGAAAGGGCTTGTGCTCTCCTGAGAACTAGGCTCCACACAAAGAAAGAGCTCATAGGCTCCTGGAGCCTCCCTGACTGCATGGTCAGCACTGATCTCAGACACAAGGCAAGAGAGCTCTAATATCCCTTAGGGGAAAATCTAGTTCAGGCCACTGCCAGAAGACAGTCAAACAGTAAAACATTTACTATTCCAAAAGTCAAACTTGGATGGGACATGAAGAACCTGTTATAACCCAGACATCTACCATGGGCTACCAAGGGCTGCAGTAGAATATTCTGTTCTCTGCTATTTTGGACACTGGGAGTTAGTTATTGAGAAGGATGCAAACCGCCCCCCTCTCCTTACTTGTCTCCTGCACTAATGACTTGTGACAGTTGCAATGGGAGCTCCAAGCCATAAGCAAAGACATACTCCAAGGACCAAGCTCTGCAGAGTTGCTCTGGTAACACAAAGCAACCTCATCACAGGCTCTTGTGCTCCTCCTTTTTCTTCCCACTAACCTCCCTTGGATCCGTGACATTTTCAAAGCCTTCCAGTGTGAGGTTTCATGGGGACCTCCGGGTGCCTCCTGTGCACCCACACTGTCGGGCTAGTTCTTCTATTGTTTAAAAAGCGAAGCAACTAATAGTTGCTGTAAAGTTATTTATTGCAGAAGCACATCAGTCTCAAAAGCAAGAACAAAGCAAAGCGAAGCAATGGCATAAAGCAATGGCAAAGCTGCAGTGGCAAAATGCAATGGCAAAATGCATATGGTATAAAACCACGGCATAGAGCCCCAGCTCTCCCTGATGCATGTTCTTTTATAGAAACTTTCCAACTAGCTAAGACACAAACTCGGACCACTACTTTTTAACCTATTAAAATTCTGTTTTCTTAGCATGCCAGACTACATATAGACTACGTTCATGGCCTATCTTGTTCTAACTGAAAAATGTAAGCAATATTCTTAACTCTATTATGTCTAAAGCTAAGTTCTTGGAGCCACTAAGGAAACACTAGCATGTTTTTTAACCTTCACTAGAACATGTACTACTTCTTAGGCATCTAAGACCTTTTGCTCACTAAAAGCACTTAAAACTTATTCCATTTACTTACTTATTTTCTCTCTCTTATGTTACAACCTAAATCTTCACCTCTGCCTTATAAGTGAGAGGCCTAATATACTTCAATCCATCTAAAGGTTTCAACTCAATCCCTGCATTCTGATCTCTCCCTGAAGGATTCAGAGAAACTCTTGATTTACTGACTCCAACATTCCAGTGTTGCATAACTTCAGCCTAAGATCTCTCTCACTTGTTCCAAGAAGCACAACCATGGCACTCAGAACCATAGAAACTTTCCCTACACGCCAGGAAATAATTTCAAAATGGTTTTCCTTAGCCCTTATTCTGCTCTGACATAAACTAAATCAAATGAGAGTCTGTAGGTACCAGTGGGGTGAAAAAAATGATAGCAGTAAATACTATAGGAAGTGGGTCACAGGGACAAATTTTCTCCCTTCTGAAGTTATCCCTGGCAGAGCAGCAGGCTGCTATTCAAGGTCTCTTATCACTTTTCAGCAGCTCCACGGGGTATGAGGCATTAGCTAATGGGAATGGTATGCTAAAAATTACACCCGGAGTGGAAAGGTAACTAAGAGCCTAAACCGTTTTCCCCGAAGGCACCAGTATGTGCAGGGGGGCAGGGCAGGGAGGAATATGCCTCAGGTCCTTCTGGGGCAAGAATCTGCTAATCAAGCAGAAAGGAGCAAATGTGGAGGGAATAGGCTAAATTGCTTAACCTAGTCTGAGGCTTCCCTGGCTTGTGCTGCTGGGTGTTTTTCTGGACCTGCTTGTCACCTCCTCGCTTCAGAAAGCAATTCAGGTTTACATCACTTTTCTTCTATAGTGCTCACTATCTTCTGCCTGGCTTACAGGCCACTGCACCCCTCTGCTCTTCGACTCCTAACTCTGTTGTAGTTAACTCTTCTTTCTGCAATAATTCCACATTACATAGCAGGCAAGCACATGGGTTGATCATCAGCAGATAGCAACCACACTAGCAAGACTTCCACATATCTCCTTTCATTTTGCCCAGGGGTGCCTTTAAACATATACACAATAAATGTCGTGGAGGTGGAAAGACATAGAGCAGCAACTTAATTTCCTCATTTTCCTTTGGGAGATGTGTCTTTTCCAAAGTGGTACAGTACAGCATGTGAGGCTCTTGTCCTCTAGTAGGCTCTTGTCCTGCCCATACTCATGCCTGTTGCCCAGTAACACTAAACTGAGATGCAAACCAGCATGTGGACACCTCTACAGGCAAAGGGTGGCTTGATTTTGGACTCAATGGCCAATAATATGGCCGATGGACCTACTCCCAGGAAGTTCAAGAAGTGTTTGGACAACATTCACAGGCACGTGGAGTGGAATTCCTGGGGCTGTTTTGGGCCAGGACTTGGACTCCATGACCCTTTTGGGTCCTTTCCAACTCCAGTATGATTCTATGCTAGCAGCCTTCTTGTCCCTGAACACAGAGCATCCTGCGGGCATCCTTCAGGCAAAGGTGGTGAGCGGTGGGTAAAAACTTGGAGACAGTTCTTGCTCTGGCTCGCCCTGAGCGGGTCCCTGCCCGCCGCGCCCCAACCGCGATGTCCCGGTGTCCCCGCCCGGGCCCGCCGTCGTCCCTCACCTGTGCGCCCGGCAGCAGAAGCGGCATAGGCAGACGCCGCAGGTCAGGCACCGCCCGGCCGCCGCCCCGTCAGCGCAGAGGTCGCACCCGGCCGCGGCCCTGGCGCGGCTCCCGGCCAGGCAGTTGCGGGGGAGCTGCCCCACGCCGCCGGCCGGCAGCGACACCTCGGCGTCGCACACCGGACACAGGACGGGGCGAGTGGCGCCCGGCAGTCCCTCCGGTGGCTCGAGCCGCCGCAGGCAGGGCTCGCACAGCGAGTGCGGGCAGGGCAGCAGCCGCGGCGACACGCAGGGCTGGGCGCACCGTGGGTGCCGACATGCCGGCAACCCGCGCGATCCCTCACCCACACTCGGCCGAGCACTCCCGTCGGGAACACCACCGCCCCGCACCACGCAGTCGTTCTCCGTCCTGGCACCGCCCGCCCCGTGAGGAGCCGCACTGTGAGGGGCGGGGGCTGCTAGGCGACCCTGCTGCTGCCCACTCCGCCGCTCCTCCTCCGGCGAAGGCGGCTGGAGAGGATCTGGCAGCCACCTTTGTCCTCGTCCCCCTCACCGAGGCGCGGAGGGACGGGCCCGCTGCTCCCCTCCTCTGGCACCTGCGGGGTTGTCTCCGCCGGTTGTGTGGGAAACTGCCCCTTCCCACCCCACCGCCGGTAGATCATGTTTCCACTTCTTTCAGTTCAAAACTTCCAGGTTTACCGCCTGACTGGCCTCTGCAGCCTCTGTGTGCTTTCAGGCCTTGGTAGTTTTTCCTTCGGATCACTGCAGAACTCTCCGCACAGATGAGAGAGAGCGGTGAAACGTCAACTAAGGCGGGGCAAGGCGGCCGGGCTTCCCTGCGACTGCCCACTAGGACGAGCTGGTGGCTGTTTTCATTCACGGGCACCGGGGAAGTAGGAATACTGGGCAAGGCAGGCTTGGAAAGCCCAACATCAGTGAAGCCCTGCGTGATGCCCCTTGGACTTTGATGGCATCTACATGGTTGGAGATGTGTGTTTTATCAGTGTGATGTGTAAGCTCTTCAAAGACTGAAATCAATTTTCCTTGTTTTGAAAAAGCTCTTTTTTATAAAGCGTCCTCTAGTGTACCACATTCAGCCCTTAATAGTTGAACTTCTTACAAGCTGATCCATCAGTTTGCCCAGGACATTCAGTATCTTACCTGTCCCATCCTGCTGCCCCTTTTGAACAGCAATGTAATGTGAAGTGCATTTGAGACTTCTGGAATTTCAGTTCCCTAAGTCAAAAATCAACAACCAGGAAGATCTCCAGTCAGGTTTTTGTTTTTAGAATCAGAGAGTCCGTGTAGAGAGCAGTAGATAAATACTTAATATCTTTATATAACACAAGTAGATACTGCCTCTGTAACTGATGTTAATGCCGCTCTGATGCCCAATGCCTTAACACAGAAATCATCTTCTGATACACTCAAACATTTCTGTGTCTTTTATAATGTAATACAAGATCAAAGTTTTGGTCATGATGAAGTATTTACAACCTCAAAGCCAATCAAAAGATGTCCCAACACTGCAGGGGTTGCAGAGGTTAGAGAGGATAAAAGCTGCAGTAATTGTGAGACAAGATGACTTGGCAAAAATATTCAATATTGCCACATAGAAAGACTAGTTCTTTTAATCGCACTGGAGGAAAGAACAGCAAATGGCCCTGTAAACATGGTTGTGGAAGAAAACAGAGGAAGTGTCATAATGTCACCTTTGTGTAGAAAAGGTGAGCTACCTAGAGAACAGCAGCATCTTCCATCCCTGCAGAGAGATGGTGGAATAAGCCATGATTGCCAGTGGCAGCGGAAAGCTGAGGATCCAGCCCAGCTGATCTGATCTGACCGCCTGTCCTGCCACTGATCAGGCTGGAGCACAGATTGCTGCTGAGTAATGTATTTATGAGCTAGCAGCACAAAGCAGGAGCACTCTTGGGATGATTAGAGAAAGTTGTAAGTGAAATGGGCTGAAGGAGCCCTGTGAGACTTGGGGAAAGAAAGCAAAAGCAGAAATGCAGAAAAAAAAAAACCAAACCCAAAAAACTAACCCAATTAAGACTAACCTAAATGGGTTAGGTTAACTAAACTAACCCAGACCCACAAAACAGGAGCTGCATTAGTACAAACTCATGATGCACTTTGGTTACTTTCCCCATAATATTGTTTTATTGGGTACTGTCAGTCAGTGGAGGAAGCCCCTGTGCCACTACATCCTAAAGAGTAGAAGACAACTCAATGGACATGTTAACTGGAGCTCTGTGAATATCGTCAATTAAGCACACTGGTCTGCAAAGCACTGCAAGAACTTGACTGAGAGACCTTCTCCCGTCTTGGATTATTCAGTTTGCTTTGTAACTGATCAAAATTTATGGATGAAAAAAACAATGTGTTATAGACACTGGAAGGCAATAAAGGACAATAGTTACATAAATGAAGCGATGAAAAATGAAAATTAAAATTAAGCTGTTTTCCTTTTGCCGCAAGAGCTGATGGATGGCTAATTATTCTCATTTGACCCAAGTTTAACTTGAAATGAAGTCCTCTTTAAACTTGTTTTCCTGCCCCTATTGTTAATGATGTCTATCAGAGCCTCCCAGAGTAGTTGCTCTGGGTGATCTGTTCCTTCCCCACTGTAGTTTCACGGCCAGCTCCTTCCTCTTTTTCCTGTTTATCTGCTTCTCATTTCCTATTATTAAGCACCAGATCATTACACTGAGATATGGAAGATTTGTTTCCTTCTCCCTTCTCGTTAAGGACTTCTGACTAATTTCTATTGTAGCTCCTAATTAGCCTCTCCCAGAGAAAGCTTTATGCTGCTTTCCCGTTTATATTTTTCTGAAGGAATATTAGTAAAACTTTTTCTGGTGTTTTCAAAAAAATCTTTAAAGCACAATTTCCTTCCTAGACTCTGTGAGCAGAGTGGGTATAGCCCATTTATTAAATTTTGATTTGGATGCCTCATGCCTTCCTGTCCCTATTTACTCTGATAATTTTAGGGAGTTGTTTCTGGATATCCTGCCATAAGAAACAAACTGAAAAAGTGGTGAAATGAAAGTCATTAGTAAATAGGACTGAAGAAAAGTCCAAGATGACTTGTTGACAGAAAGCTGAGAACTTGTCAAAGTGCCAGAGCTTAGCATGATGGCAGCCAGAGGAGGATGGAAAATGACTTATTTGGGGAATTTACAAATAAAAGACAAGTAGAATATACTTTTTGGCTTCTTTCCTGTTGACTAAGAAGTCCGGTTTTCCTGTGAATTTCTGAGCCCTGGGAGCTACTGTGTTTCAGAGATTTCTCTGAATGTGGCAGAGCTGCCAGGCATGGTCTTGGGAGTACTTGATGTATCACTACTTGTTTCCATGCAAACCGTTTCCAGATACCCAGCTGACAGCTCTTCTCCTTTTTATCAACCTCATCCAGAAACTCCAAAAAAGCCTTTACAAACATCTCCCAGTTTAGGCAGAATCTCTCCCTCATTCAGCTAAAGGTGCATTTGAAATTATGTGGATTTGACTGGTGAGAGGAGCATTTCTGTAAGGCACGGAGGCTGGTGTCATCTGCAGCCCTCACTTCTGCATCCAGCCTGACACCCACAGACTCATCACACTCTGAGTAAAGAATTTCTTCCTAACACCTAATCTAAATCTCTTCTTTAGTTTAAAACCATGGATGTTTTAAAAGGAGGTACCATTTGACCTCTACTCGTGCTGGGCCTCAAATACACACAAGTAAATTGCCCCTAGCCTCACATGACAAAATTTCTGCAAGCTGATGGCACATGGGTGAATGCAACAGCTGCAGCAGAAGGACAACACTGATCTCCTACTTGGGAATAGCACCTGGGACAGAGAAAGAGGACTTCTGTCCTGGCATTTCTCACTGCTTTTCTACAAAGCATTCCTAGGGCAACTCACTCTTCAGTGAAATGCCTTTGCTACCAAACATCTCCCTTTGTGCATATACATACTCTCTTTTGAATTTGCCAGTAGCTTTTTCTCTTCAGGCTTGTGTTGAGCTTTGGAGACAAAACTGAACTCAAATTACCTCATTTAACATAAGTCCATGTATCTTCATTTTCATGCTGGACTCCAAAGCACATGCCTGTGAGCTGCTGCTGTCACACATCAAACTTGTGCTCCAGCAGGACTTCAGCCACTGCAGTGTGACCTGGGACAGGTGAAGGAAGAAGGCAGCCAAACAGCACACCTGGCAGCCTAAACCTCTGTCACTCACTGACTAATGGAAGGCACGCAATAATCACACATGGGCTTGGCTTGACCCTGAACTTGCAAACAGGAAGTGGACAGGGTATGGACATGTGGTAACAATTGAAACACAGAAAGAAAACAGCAAAAGTAATGTGTAGATCTCTCTTGTACTCCAGATTTGTGACAGGAAACACGGAGTTCGAAGTGGTCAAGCATTATCCCTTTCAGTTGGCAGCAGCTCTTTAAACTCTTTAAAGGCCAAAGCAGCTGCAGACTTTGTGCAGACTTGCCCTTGCTGTGGCTTCTGACCAGACATTCCTGCTTTCTCTGCCTCCCTGCAGCTTTCCAGCCACCTGCTGCCACTTTCAGCTTTCTGCTGCTATATATATTCTTTTTAATCTCTCCTGAATCCTGCCTACATTTTGTGAAGGGAAGATGAAACTGGATTTTTTCCAAGGAGGCTTTTCGAAAGAAGGAAGTTCTTTGTGATGTCAGGCCATTGATCTTTATCAGCTACTCGTCAGCCACATTTGAGAGAGGGAAGTGATCTGAAAGGCTCTAACTTTCTAGATGCAAAAGATCATAGAACCATTGAATACTTGGAGGTGGAAGAGACCCACAAGGATCATTGAATTCCAACTCCTGGCCTTGCGCAGGACAGCCCTAAGAACCACCATGTACCCGAGAGTATTGTCTAATCACTTCTTGAACTGTCAGGCTTGGTGCTATGCCCAATTAATTCTGATACTGAGAAGACAAATGGAGTTGTTTTTTTGTTTTTTTTTTCCTTTCCCTTCATTGCTGGGACCACAAGACAGAAGGATATTACAGTAGGGTATTTCCATGAGATAGAGCTAGGAACAAAAACCTGGCCTTGGCCTTGTTGCAGGGGCAGGAAGAGCAGGGAATTCATTTTGATGAGACTTGTAGTCAGCATGAGGCCTGACCAAGCATACTTTTATGCATATATGTACAAAGAAATATAAAATCTGATCGCCTGCAACAGGTGTGCAGGAAGACTAGCTCTCTGTAGGAGTAGTGTCAATCTAATGAGAGTGAGCATTTTGTTTCAGACAGGTTATCTTGGTTTGAAAGACAGGTATTTTGCTAAGGAAAGGTGAGAACCCCTTTCCTGAGATGCAGAGTGCAACCCCCTCCCTTCTAATTATTATAGTTTCAAATCAGAGGCTTTCAGGCAGAAGATATGGGGATAGGAATAACAGTTCTTTACTGATATCTAACAAGGCAAAACAGCAGAAACAACAACAGCTATAAAAATTGACAACAAAACAGAACAGTATAGCTCAGTTCCAGTCCCTTTTGGCCAAGGCCCTCTCCCTGTGCTCAGTTCCCGGTGCTGTGGGCAGGGCAGGTCCCGCGCAGCTGAAGGCGCTGGGTGATGGCGGCAGCGGCCCAAGGGTGAGAGGGATGGAGGAGCCACTCCCCCCTCACGGTG